AGCACTGCATTTCCTGAATCCCATAGGTTTTGGGTTGTCGTGTTTTCATTTTCATTTGTTTCTGTGCATATTTTGATTTCTTCTCTGGTTGGTTGGTTATTCAGAAGCATGTTGGTTAGCCTCTATATGTTTGTATTTTTAATAGTTTTTTTTTTCCCTGTAGTTGACATCTAATCTTACCACATTGTGATCAGAAAAGATTTTTGAAATTATTTTAGTTTTTTTTAATTTACTAAGGCTAGGTTTATGGCCCACAATGTGATCTATCCATGTGTGCTTCAGAAAAAGGTGAAATTCATTGTTTCATTGGGGTGAAATGCCCTATAGATGTCAGCTAGGTCTAACTGGTGAATTGTATCATTTAAAGCTCATGGTTGGTTTTTTTTTTGTTGTTTTTTTTTCTAATTTTCTGTTTGGCTGATCTATCCATAGGTATGAATGGGGTATTAAAGTCCCCCACTATTATTGTGTTACTGTTAATTTCCCCTTTCATACTTGTTAGCATTTTCCTTACATATTGAGGTGCTCCTATGCTGGGTGCATATATATTTATAATTGTTATATCTTTTTCTTGGATTGATCCTTTGATCATTATGTAGTGTCCTTCTTTTTCTCTTTTTGCTGTCTTTATTTCAAAGTCTGTTTTATCTGATATGAGTATTGCTACTCCTGCTTTCTTTTGTTTTCTATTTGCATGAAATATCTTTTTCCAGCCCTTCACTTTCAGTCTGTATGTGTCCCTTGTTTTGAGGTGGTCTCTTGTAGACAGCATATATAGAGGTTTGTTTGTTTGTTTGTTTGTTTTATCCATTCGGCCTTTCTTTGTCTTTTGTGGGGGGCATTTAACCCATTTACATTTAATGTAATTATTGATAAGTATGATCCCATTACCATTTACTTTGTTTGGGGGGGGGGTTATTTTATAAACCTTTCCTGTGTTTCCTGTCTAGAGAAGATCCTTTAGCATTTGTTGGAAGGTTGGTTTGGTGGTGCTGGATTCTCTCAGCCATTGCTTGTCTGTAAAACTTTTGATTTCTCCTTCCTACCTGAATGAAATCCTTGCTGGGTATAGTAATCTGGGTTGTAAATTTTCCTCTTTCATCACTTTAAGTATGTCCTGCCATTCCCTTCTGACCTGAAGATTTTCTATTGAAAGATCAGCTGTTATCCTTATGGGGACCCCCTTGTGTGTTAATTTTTGCTTTTCCCTTGCTGCTTTTAGTATTTGCTCTTTGTGTTTGATCTTTGTTAGCTTGATTAATCTGTGTCTTGGGGTGTTTCACCTTGGTTTCATCTTGTTTGGGAATCTTTGGGTTTCTTGGACTTGGATGGCTATTTCTTTCCCCATTTTAGGGAAGTTTTCAACTATTATCTCTTCAAGTATTTTTTCATCTCCCCCCCCCCCCTTTTTTGTCTCCTTCTTCTGGGACCCCTATGATTTGAATGTTTGGGCATTTAACATTGTCCCAGAGGTCTCCGAAGTTGTCCTCATTTGTTTTAACTCTTTTTTTTTTCTTTTTTCCTCTCTGCTTCATTTATCTCCACCATTCTATCTTCCATCTCACTTATCCTGTCTTCTGCCTTATTTATTCTACTGTTGGTTCCCTCCAGAGCACTTTTCATCTCAGTAATTGCATTATTCATTATTGATTGACTCTTCTTTATTTCTTCTAGGTCCTTCTTAAACATTTCTTGCATCTTCTCAATCCTTGTCTCTAGTCTATTTCTGTAACTCCATTTTATTTTTAAGATTTTGTATCATCTTTACTATTATTATTCTGAATTCTTTTTCAGGTAGATTCCCTATCTCATCCTGTTTTGTGTGGTTTGGTGGGTATTTGTCATGTTCCTTTATCTGCTGAATATGTCTCTGCCTTTTCATTTTGTTTAGATTGCTGTGTTTGGGGTGCCATTTCTGTAGGCTCGAAGTTCATGGTTCCTGTCTATTGTGGAGTCTGCTTCCTGTGGCGGGGGGTTGGACTAGTGGCCTGTCAAGGTTTCCTGGTTGGGGGAGCTTGCGTCTGTGTTCTGGTGGGTGGAGCTGGATCTCTTCTCTCTGGAGTGCCATGAAGTGTCCATGGCACTTGCCATGGAATGCCAAGAGTTTTGGGGTGTCTATGGGTTTGGCATGGCTTTGGGTAGCCTGTCTTTTAATTTTCAGGGTTGTATCCTGCTTTGCTGAAGAATTAGCATGATACGTCTTACATTGGGGCTTGTTGGCTCCTGAATGAAGCTTGATTTCAGGGTAGGTATGGAGACTTTGGGGTGAGCTCTTGTCTATTAATGTTCCCTGGAATCAGGAATTCTTTGATGTTCTCAAGTTTTGGAGTTTACACCCCTGCCTCTAGCTTTCAGTCCTTCTCTTACAGTAGCCTCAAGACTTCTCCATCCATACAGCACAGATGATAAAACATCTAGGATATAGGTGAAACAATTCTTCACAGCGAGGAACACCCAGAGAGATTCAGAGAGTTACACAGAGAAGAGAAGAGGGAGAAGGGAGATATATGTGACCAGGAGGAGAAGAGGGTGAGTCAAAAGGAGATAAAGCAGTCTAGCCAGTAATCAGTTCCATAAGTATTTTTCACTGCCCAGAACACCCAGAGAGATTCACAGAGTCGAGTAAAGAGAAAGGGGAGAGGGGATATCGAGCTGACCTGGAGAAAAGGGAAAGTCTAAAGGGGAGAGAGCAATCAAGTTAGTAATCCAATCCCTAAGTGAAAATGGATAGATTAGATTCTTAAAGTACAAAATTGATAACAAGTACCCAAAAGTTTAAAAATCTAGAATAGAGGTTAGACTATCAAAAATACAATATAAAAAATACAACATCAATCACTATACACACACATACATATGTATGTATGAAATTTGCTTTAAAATAAGGTCTCTTAAAAAAATTAAATAAAATAAAAAATAAATAAATAAAATAAGGTCTCTTTTTGCAAGGTAATAGTAGGTTATAAAAATGAAAAACAAATAATGAAGAATTTAATTTTAAAAAAATTAAAAAGTGATAACAGTAAAAATATATCACTTGATCAGTTGAGTTGTAAGGAAGGAGGAACACTGCAAACAAACATTGCTGGCATGTGTGGGGAGTGCTCAGAGTGTATGGACCACATTGGGTTTGCCCCAGCTCAAGGCAGCATGTGCTCCCTGGGTTTACACTGCTTAGGCTCCAGGGTGCTCTGCAAGGGCACTGTCCCAAGTGGATCCTGTGATTCATACATTTCCCAGGTCTAAGCCGCTCAGGTTCTTGGGTACTCCACAAGGCCACAGACCTGAATGGGCTGTGCGTTTTGTGCCCTTTTCAGGTCTGAGCAGCTCAGGTGAACTGGTGCTTGTTGAGTGCACTGTCCCAGTTGGGCCATGCATCTTAATCACCTCCCCAATCCCATCCACTCAGTTTCCTGGGTGCACCATGAGAGCACTGTCTCAGGTGTACCATGTGTCTCCTCTGGGGAGATGATCTCAGGCTGCGACACTCCTGGCAGATGTTAACCTTCCAGGTTCCCAGGAAGATGTGTTTTGCAACTGGGAGCCTGCTCACAGTTTTGTGGTCTCTTGAGCCAAGATTGCAGTAGCCCCTTGCCTTCTGGCTCTGACTGTGGTTCACCTGCCTCTCTGCCTCCAGGAAGGGAGGGCTCTTTATGTAGCTAGTTTGCTCTCCTTTGGTATTCATTCAATCCTTTGTTCTGTGATCATTCCAGGGGTCACTGTGCTGTATTAGAGCCTTTCGCGGGAAAGGTCTTCTTTTATTTTTTTTTTAATCTCTCTGGTGATCCCACGGTTTGGGTTGCTATCACACATTAGCTCCCTCAGATTGTCTTCAGGGCATTCAGGTTCAGTCCTTACCCTAAGGATCTATGATGCAGACCGCACCTTCCTGCCCAGTCCTCACTCGCTGGTGGTGGTGAGCATCTGGACTACTTCTCCGCTGGCAGTTGCGATTAGGTGCATATTCTGTGAGGCTTTTATTCGCGCCTCTACCCCCCATTATGTTGCTCTCTTAGATTCCAAAACTCCCCACAGACCCACCTATGAGAGGGTTTCCTACTGTGTGGAAACTTCTCTTCCTTCTTGACTCCCTCCCCAGGATGGTCTCCATCCCTAAATCTTCTTTGTTTTTGTCTTTTATATTTTGTCCTACCTCCTTTCGAAGAGAATGGGCTGCCTTTCTGGGTGCCTGGTGTCTTCCACCAGCGTTCAGAAGTTGTTTTGTGGAAGTTACTCAACATTCAAATGATCTTTTGATGAATTTGTGGGGGAGAAAGTGGTCTCCCCATCCTGTTCCTCCACCACCTGGGGACTGCCTCTCAAGTGATTTTCTTACTCGAGTTCAAAATGGGTTGTAAAGCTATGGAGACAATTCACAACATTAACCCCAGTAGTCGATGTTCTCTTTGCACGTGTGAAGATATGTATTTCACACATGTGAGGAGATTTCAGATCCTAGAGGACAGTTTGACTAATGGAGAAAATATCCTAGTTTATTCTTCAGTGCCAATGTGAAAATAGTTAATAGTTTTGCTTTGAGGCACAAATATCAACTAATCATACTATTTGTATTTTCCAGCATCACACCATGACTGACAGTTAATTTATGTAGATCTTGATGTAAATTTTCTCAAGTAATTTTATCCTCAGTTTGTGTGTGTGTGTTTAAGCAGATCTTTATTACCTTGAAAGCATTTTTTAAAATAAAATCTTCCTTTCTCTTCTTCAGTTTTTTTCTTAAGATGAAAAAACTTCTTCAAAACTTCCTTCTGTTAATGTTCAGTAGTGTGGAGGATATTATGTAGCATACTTTGTACAATGGAAAATTATTTTAGAGATATTAATTATGTTAGAGGTTTTGTAAACATGCACTTGCAACTTAATTAGTAATAATTACAGTGAATTTTAATATTTTATATATTTTAATTCTGTTCTATAAGCACTGAAATAAAATGGAAAGAGGTTAAGATAATAACATTCCCTATTTTGTGGGTATTTAGGAACCTGTTTTATTCACTGGAACAATGAGGAAAAATCTGGATCCCTGTAATGAGCATACAGAGGAAGAACTGTGGAATGCCTTAGAAGAGGTAATTTATTAAATGTAATTAACTTGATAGCATCAGTGTCTATTTGTGTACATTTATAGCATTGCATGTAATTAAGAGGAACTTATCAGTTTAACTGACTTTGTTTGCTTCCTAGAAAAAGATGGATGACATGAGTGCACTTACAGTGTGTATATTGATGATGGTGAAAACCAATAATATAATGCCATGTTTCCATTTTAGCTTTTTCCCTAGAGCTCCAAACAATTAGATCCATTATCTTGTCCTTAGAAGAGGACGCAACTAGATGTTAAAACTGTGAATTCAAATTCTACTAGTGACCTAATGAATTAATTACCCTAATTACCCTCCAAAGTTCATTTTATTCCTCTTGTCTTAGGGAATATCTACTAAGTAGAGACAATAGTAGTTTTTCATTATTACCTGAAAGATACAAATGAGATCCAGACATTTAATAGGAAAGTGTTTACAAAAATAAATTATATAGTTGGAATGTGATGATGATTATTTATTGGTGATTATATCATTTTAATGCTGTAGCTAGAATGCAGGTAACAGAACCTTGGAGCATTTGCAGTTTTTATAAGGATAGGTTCATTTCTAGAGAATTTTCTGTTATTTGCATCATGTTTCCCTTTGTCCCACTTTGAATTTCCTCACCCTTGCATGAAAAAGTTTTTGACTATTAAGTTGCTGTTGGTTTGTATATTGTAATACAAATTATTTTGTGTATTTGCCCTCATTTTGCAAATTGATTCTACTGATGACAGAAATTTTACACTTCTAAGTTGTAGACAGACTTCTAATTTCTCATAGGAGCTAGCTCAGTCTTTTGCTTTTAAAAAGTAACCATGTGCATCTCTATACACTAACAGTGAAAGATCAGAGAGAGAAATTAAGAAAACAATCCTGTTTACCATCACAATAAGAAGAATAAAATACCTAGGGAAAAACCTACCAAGGGAGGCAAAAAACTAGCACTCAAAAAAGTATAAGATACTGACAAAAGAAATCAAAGATGATGCAAACAGATGGAGGGATATACCATGTTCTTGGGCTGGAAGAATCAATATTGTGAAAATGACTATACTACCCAAAAAACCTACAGATTCAATACAATGCCTGTCAGATTACCAGTGGCATTTTTCATAGAATTAGAGCCCCAAATTTTACAATTTGTATGGTAACACAAAGACTAAAAATAACCAAAGCAATATTAAGAAAGAAAAACAAAGTCAGAGAAATAAAGTTCTCTGATTTCAGACTACATTATTAAGTTGGCCAAAAAGTTCATTATGTAAGATGTTACAGAAAAACCCAAATGAATTTTTTAGCTGACTCAATGCAGAGCTACAGTAATCAAGATGGTATCGAACTGGCACAGAAACAGACACATAGACCAATGGAGCAAGCTAGAGAGCCCACAGATAAACTCACACATCTATGGTCACCTAGTCTATGACAAAGGAGGCAAGAATACACACTGGAGAAAAGACAGTCTCTTCAATAAGTCATGCTGGAAAAACTGGACAGCTACATGGAAATGAATGAAATTTAGAACACTCCCTAATACCATATATAAAAATAAACTCAAAATGGATTACAGACCTAAATTTAAGACCAGATACAATAAAACTCTTAGAGGAAAACATTCTTTGACATTAATAACTACTAAATGTTTGATTGATCACTTCATTTCAGAGGAGTGTGGCAATTTCTTTAAATTTTTTTTCTTAAACAGACCTGAGTGGCTGATTTTTCGAGCTGGTATGTTTGTCATTTGGTGTCACCCTTCCAGGGAAGCTCTGAAATCTGTAGTATACAGATGATCATTGACTGTGAGCAGACAGGTTTGGAGGTCATACAATTTTCAGCCAGTAATTGTGGTTTCTGGAGGATGTCAGCACTGAGTCTTTACACACCCACCTGGCTTTCCAGCAACGTGGGGATTTTGTTTTCCTAAATTGAGCAAATTGCTCTACCTTCTCTTGCCCAAAAAGAAGTGCACCTCTCATTTCATTGAAGTTTGTGAGTCTCCAGTGAAATTCTAGTAGAGAAGAGGGGAGAGCAGTTAACCATCAAATGTAATAAACGATAGGATGAGCCACTGATCTTGAATTCACAGATCAGATTTAATGGTGAAATTATGACATCTTAAAAAAAACTGGAAGTACTGGTAAATTATTTTTCTATTTGTTTCCCAGCTGATATATTTTTTTCACAGATTCTCGGGTAGAAAAATGACTCTAGAATTTTAGAACACATTGTTCCATGGACAGAGAGGCAATGTTAATCTAAATTCTAAAAAATGATGAAGTGGTAGAAGGGGTAGATAATACTAGATCTACCTTTATTTAAACTACATTTGGAGCTTTCTAAGTGAAGTATGTGGTTTTCATGTATTGCTTCTGTAATTGACCCTGTTAATGTTGGTGATATCACTTAGGGAAATCATCCCATCATTGTGTTTCTTTAGGATCTGCTTCTTTATGACTGTTTTAAAGAAAACCTACCAAATCTTTCACTGAAAACATACAGATGTGATAAAGAAAAATTCCTAAAGAAATAGAATAATGGGGTGATTTATCACTCTAAGTGTGTGTGTGCATTCTCGGTCATGTCTGACTTTTTGTGCCCCCCTGTGGAACTGTATCCCGCCAGACTCATCTGTCCATGGAGTTTTCCCGGCAAGAGATACTGGAGTGGGTTGCTGTTTCCTACGCTAGGGGATCTTCCCAAACCAGGAATTGAACCCTCATTATCTTCGATTTCCTGCATTGGTAGGAGGATTCATAACCACTGTACCACCTGGAAAGCCTGTCACTCTGACAGGTATCACTAAATCAGTGAGGTCACTTTTTAAGTGAACTCAAAACCCTAGTTATTAGTTTGTAAATGGTGCCAACCTGGACATGTGAACCCAAACTCACAGAGGTGGCCTGAGAGTGAGTAGGAGGGAACCACTATATTTTCCTCTTTTAAAGTCCTCTAATTCTGTTTCTTTCTTCTTCCTTGAAAGAGATGGACATTCAGAAGGGAGGCAGTTCAATGAATGCTGCCCATCTCATCTTGGTTATTTTTCAAAATATGCTGAAAATACATTTTTCATATACTGAAAACTAGCCACCTTACTATAAACTGACAAAAGTTCATCAGAAATTAGTGGTGATTGGGGTGCTAAAAAGCAAAGGCAAATCCACACATATAACATGAGTGTACCTGAAGATGAAGCAATTTATCACTCAAAGGTTAAAAGAGCACAGTAGATAAAACTCTCAAAATGAATCATCAATGTGTTTCTTCTGTTAAAAAAAATAAAAACAAAATGGCTTAAATTCTGGGATATGAAGTTAAGCATATGGTTTGTCCTGTCAAAACTGGGGAAGAAATCATGCAGTCAAATGTTTGATATTGATAGTGTCTCTGTTCAGACAGAAGTGTGTCTCATCACACAGGAAACAAAGATACAGAAACCTGGGCATCAGCAGCCGGTGAATCACAAACCATGTGGTTCAGTCCTGGCTGTGGGACAGTTCACGTGTCCACTTCCCGGGGCCTTGTATTAGGTGAATGGGCTCTCCTTTTACTTCACTTACTGCTGGTCCTGCTCTAGTAAAAGCTCTTCCGCATCTGTTGATTGTATTTCCCTGTCTCCTTCCAGCCCAGACCAGCCTTTCTTTTTGAAAAGTAAGATGGTTCCACAAAATATAGGAACCATCTGATATCTGTGTTGACCTCCTGTGAGGGGTGTTGGTGCCTGGTTGGTAGATAGAGTTGAAAATATTTATGGTGATAGAAATAGGGTGTCTTCAATTTAAGTGTATTATTTTTCAATTTTGCTATATTCTATTATTTTCCTAAATAATCTAAAAACAATCTAAAGGATTCTGTACTGAGATGTATAGTTTTGAATTTCAAGTATTATTTACTTCATTTTCCTTAAATCATAACTTTTTCAGTGCTTTCCACTGTTTAAAGTGTGATATTGTGACATCTTGGAGCCAGTTAATTGTTATAAGAATATATTCCTTTTACACCTACACTTAATAAGAAAATAGTGTTATATATAAATTATTTATCTATGTGGGTTTATTTTCTAATTTGTAGGAACAGATATGTCACATGATTAGATTTACTCATGCCTTCGTTCACACAGCCAACAAATATCTACTGAGAGTTTGTTAGACAGGCATTGCTTCAGATTTGGGGGCTATCACATTATCAAAAGACAAAGTCTCTACCCTTTTGGAGCTTAAATTCTCTTGAAGAAGATGGAAAACAAGCCAATGCATATGTAACAAGGTCTCAGTGCTGATAGATGCAAAGGAGGAAAAAGGAGCAGAACATGAAGAGAGGCTAGCTGACAGCATTATTAATATTGGGCAATATCTATTGATCTGTCATAAATTCTACATACTGATTCATTTTATACTCTATCAATGTTAGGAGGTACCCATCTTTATAATTATGATATTATAGTCTTAGAGTTTAGGAAGCTAAAGTAGAGTAAGTTTAGTAACTTGCCCAGTTGGCAGAGCCAGGCAGGACTTATGTCCAGGCTGTCTGGTTTCAAGTCTCCATTTTTTTTTTTTTGGTTGTGCTGCTTCTTCATTGCTTCTTGCAGGCTTTCTCTAGTTGCAGCAAACAGGGGCTAATCTTTGTGGCAGTACACAGCTTCTCACTGACATGGCTTCTCCTGTTGTGACACCTGGACTCTGGAGCATACAGGCTTCAGTAGCTGTGGCCTGCAGGCCAGTAGTCACAGCCTGTGGGCTCTAGAGTGTGGGCTCAGTAGTTGTGGCACATGGGTTCACTTGCTCCTTGCCATTTGGGATCTTCCTGGACCAGGGATGAAACCCATGTCCTGTGCATTGGCAGGTGGATTCTTAACCACTGGACCACCAGGGAGTCCCAAGCCTCTGATTTTTTGTTTTTAAATTTTCAAATCACAGGAACATGAGAGGAATAGTATGATGAACATATATAAACCCTCACCTGATTCATCAGCGTTAGTGTCTTCCCATGTTTTCTCCATCTCTTCTATAATCTATATTTTGCTGAATTTGTAAGTTGTAGAAATGTTTATTAAAAGTTGGATTTCACCTTTAAATACATAAATGTACACCTTATAAGAGCAAAGACATTCCCTTATATGTCCTAATACAGTTATCTCAATCAATAAATTTCATAGTAATATTGTATTATTACTGAAATGAACTGAAGTATGTTTTCAGATTCTCTAGTTGTAACTCCTAGTTATTATTGTCTCTGCTTCTATTGTCCTTTTTTCTCATTTTAATACTTAAGTATAACTTGATTTTATCATTATACTACAGAAGGCTTTCATATTCATTTATTTTCATAACCATCCCTGACTTATAAATGAAGACAGAGTCTCAGAAAATAGAATTTTCTGAAAAACATTTCCCTTTACAGCCCTTTTAACTCATGAAGCAGATATGGACAAACTCAAAGAAAAGTATAAAATGAAATTAGTGATGAGATGTCATCCAAGTCAGAGGCAAGTATGAGTCAGAATGTCAGTCTTAAGCAAGTCCAATCTCTTGTACCACAATCCAAATCTTACCCTTTAGATCTTGTGTACTTTTCATGTTAATGCTGCATAACAATACCATATTTGATTCTAACTTAGAATTCCCCTTTCTTGGAATTGGACTCCATCAGGAGCACAATTCAGATTCACATTTATAGACATGCTCCAGCATTTAGAATACCTGAAAAATGAAAACTGCTCACTCACCCTTGGTGTGTTGTTATCTGATTTTATAATGTGTCAGATAACTTATCAGCCATCACTCATCAATCTGTTGGTCTCTTAATTTGAAGTGTATTTCTTCTTTATGCTTCAACTTCAAGTATAGCCTGAGTTTGGTTCTTACTCTATAAAATGTCTCCAAAAAAAAAATTTATTGAACTGAACCCTACCACCAAATGTATTTTCAGGTTATCTTTGACAGTTACAGTTTTGTTTTTTCTAATATTCTGAGTACAATTTTATGAAGATAGATTAATATAAACATCACATATATCCATATTCTGGGGGAAATAAGATGTGTCTTATTTTTCATGAGTTTTCATTTACTGCAAGACATTTATAACACTGGGGAAAATGCACTCGATTGATCCACTATTTATAGAATTAAACTTGGGAAAGAACCATCACCAAAGCAGGTTCCAGGATTACTGATGTATAAGGTGAGGTTTTCCATTGTTTGAATTTGTGTTATTTTAAACTTCACCAATGTGCTTGTAAGATTGTATCTTCAGAGAAAAAGACTTACTGTAAATTTTTTTGAAGTTTTTCTTTAGTGTACCAACTCCTGTGAAAAATGAAATTTGGGAAACTTGACTCAACCATAAAAGTTGCTTTAACTTTTCTGTTTAAAGCATATTAGGAGAAATAGATTCATATTTTGAAAGACTTCCTTAACTAACCCCTAGGTGGGGTTTCTGGTGGATGTCCTGTGGCAGGGATGGGGGACATTGAGATCTTTCTGTCCTGAGTTGACTCCACCATCTTTCTCAGTGAATGCTCTTTGGAAAGAGCTCTCCCCATCACCTGGCTGTACATGTAAGATGCATAAGAAGTTCTGAGGACATCAAAGTTCTAATGTGTAAGAGGCTTGTCTACTTCAATAACAGTTTGCTTAGGAAAATGTCATTCATTCTGTATCTACAGGTGCAACTTAAAGACACCATTGAACATCTTCCTGGTAAAATGAATACTGAATTAGCAGAATCCAGATTGAACTTGAGTGTTGGACAGAAACAACTAGTGTGCCTTGCCAGGGCTATTCTCAAGAAAAATCAGATATTGATTATTGACAAAGCCACATCAAATGTGGATCCAAGGTATGGAGCTGAGACCCAGGAAACCTTGAATCTGACTTCTAAATGTGGTAAATGGGAAACACTTAGTGATGCTTACAAATGTTTCTAAGTGTTCTCTTAGCCCCATGGATATTTCTTGATAACATTAATTCCAGAAAACAAAGGAAAAACCAAGACATGTTATATGGAGTTAGTGTTGTTATGAAGCATCCTGAGAGAGCTAGATTCCTTAATCCAGCTCCTTATAGTTTCAAGCAATTTTGAGGGGAGACTATTTTCCATCATTTTATGAAAAACACTAAATTTATAAATAGGTATTTTATACTTAGTTTTTTAGAAACAAGATCATATGTTAAGGTATTAATTTTAAAAACATTATAAAAGTATCATGATATTTTTAAGTCTTAAGTCTGCTTTTCCTGCCTTTACTGAACTAAATAAATTTGTTTGATTCTAGAACTGATGAGTTAATACAAAAAAAAATTCGTGAGAAATTTGCCCAGTGCACTGTGCTAACCATCGCACACAGGTTGAGCAATGTCATTGACTGTCAAAAGATAATGGTAAGACCCTCACCATTTTAGTTGTGTTCATTTATGTTCAATTTCTCAATGTATCCTTCCTTGTAAGACTTGATAGGAACCTCCAGTAATATAATTTTCTCCTCTCTTACCTGAAAGTCATTGTTGTTTAGTGGCTCACTCATGTCTGATTCTTTGCAACCCCATAGAGTTCAGCATACCAGGCTTCCCTGTCCTTCACTATGTCTTGGTTGGTTCAAATTCATGTCCATTGAGTCTGTCATGCCATCCAATCATCTCCTCCTCTGTCATCCCCTTCTTCTGCCTTCAGTCTTTCCCAGCATCAGAGTCTTTTCCAATGAGTCAGCCCTTCACATCAGGTGGCCAAAATATTGGAGCTTCAGCTTCAGCATCAGTCCTTCTAATGGATGTTCAGGGTTGATTTCCTTTAGAATTTACTGGTTTGATATTCTTTCAGTCCAAGGGACTCTCAAGAGTCTTCTCCAGCACCACAGTTTGAAAGCATCAATTCTTTGGCACTCAACTTTCTTTATGGTCCAACTCTTACATCTTATATCTACTGGAAAAACCATATAGATTTAACTAGATGGACCTTTGTCAGCAAAGCAATGTCTCAGCTTTTTAATATGCTGTCTAGGTTTGTCATAGCTTTTCTTCCAAGGAGCAAGTGTCTTTTTAATTCATGGCTGCAGTCACTGTCTACAGTGATTTTGGAGCCCAAGAATATAAAGTCTGTCACTGTTTCAATTGTTTCCCCATCTATTTGCCATGAAGTAATGGAACTGGATGACATGATCTTCATCTTTTGAATGTTAAGTTTTAAGCCAGCTTTTTTCACTCTGCTCTTTCACTTTCTTCAAGAGGCTCTTTAGTTCCTCTTTGATTTCTGCCATAAGGGTGGTGTCATCTGCATATCTGAGGTTATTGATATTTCTCCCGACAATCTTGATTCCAGCTTGAGCTTCATCCAGCCCGACATTTTGCATGATGTGATTTGCATATACGATAAATAAGCAGAGTGACAATATACAGCCTTGACATACTCCTTTCCCGATTTGAACCTTATTTATATTTCTTGCTTTAGAAATAGACATACTGTGTTTTACTGCACTTCCCAGATACTTCATTTTTACAAACTGAGAGTTTATCATAACCCTACATTGAACAATTCTATGGGTGCCAATTTTCAAAAACAGTATTTGATCATTCCATGTCTCTGCCTCACCTTTTGGTAATTCTCAATGTATGTCAAACTTTTTCACAATCGTTATTGTTTCTCTGGTTATCTGTAACATCAGTGTTACTGCTATAACTTGCTGAAGTCTCCTCTGTTGGTTAGTATTTTTTTCAGCAACGCACTGTTTCTGGATTAAGTTCTGTATATTGTTTTCTCAGACATAATGCTGTTACACACATTATAGGTTAGTGTAGTGTAAACATAACTTCTGTTCTGGGAATGTTCTGGGAAACCAGAACATTCATATCACTCACTTTACTGCCATGTTCACTTCATCCTCGTGCTCTGGAACTGTACCCACACCAAGGGATGACCGTACCTCATTGCTTTCTGGAAAACAGGTGATTGTCTATTCTGGAAGCTTTAATATGGACATAAAGATGAGTCAATCTATTGCAAAGACTGATGCTCCAGAGGGCGGGTGACTGGACTCAAGGAGTAGCTGGGGAACTGACAGATGCTGACGAAGGGCATAACCAACAGGGTTGTCACCATAAGTCCTATCATTGCAAGTGCTTAAGGTGTAACTCAAAATTCAGAAAAGTAAGACCATGCCATCAGGTCCCATCACTTCATGGCAAATAGATGAGGAAACAGTGGAAACAGTGACAGACTTTATTTTGGGGGGCTCCAAAATCACTACAGATGGTGACTGAAACCATGAAAGACACTTACTCCTTGGGAGGAAAGTTATGACCAATCTAAACAGCATATTAAAAAGCAGAGACATCACTTTGCCAACAAAGGTCCATATTATCAGAGTTATGGTTTTTCCAGTAGGCATGTATGGATGTGAGAGTTGAATTATAAAGAAAGCTGAGTGCCAAAGAATTGATGCTTTTGAACAGTCATGTTGGAGAAGACTCTTGAGAGTCCCTTGGACTTCAAGGAGATCCAGTAGTCCATCCTAAAGGAAATCAGTCCTGAATATTCATTGGAAGGACTGATGCTGAAGCTGAAACTCCAATACTTTGGCCTGATGCGAATAACTGACTCATTGGAAAAGACCGTGATGCTGGGAAAGATTGAAGGCAGGAGGAGAAGGTGACGGCAGAGAATGAGATGGTTGGATGGCGTCACCGACTCAACAGATATGAGTCTGAGTAAACTCTGGGAGTTGGTGATGGACAGGGAGGACTGGAATGCTGCAGTCCATGGGGTTGCAAAGAGTTAGACACGACTGAACCACTGAATTGAACTGAACTCAAGGTGTAATAATTACATTTTGTTGCACTAGTTAATACTTCTACACAAAGATAGATGGATGGTTTTTTTAATTCTATTTTTTAATTGAATCCATAAAAAATATTTTGTTATAAAAAACAATAAATGTGCAAAGTATAAATAGGAAAATAAAAAAAACTCTCATATAGGTAAGATTACAATATACCCACTATCAGAAAGTGTTAGTTGTACAATGCTATAATATTATTTGGATAACCCTAGAGCCAGTTAAATAATTTTCTATTGCAAAACAGAGTATTTTATTAGCAGAATTTTTATTTATTCTTAAAATTCCCCATGTCATTTATTAATTTTCCATAGCTTGGTTCTTAATAGCTAGCTATAATTTCATCATAGAGATGGAGTATAATTAATCTCAAACTTAGACATCTATTTATTTTCCAAATTATCACTTTTACCAAAAATCTAGAAATGATTAGATGGATGTGGTTTTGTTCAGTGTAAGTAAATCAGCGAAAGGGCTTGTTGGGAAACAACTGGGACCTAATTAATAGCTTTGTATATGTGTTGACTCTCCAAAGGGATTTACCTGGCTTTGGTTCATTAAACACCATTAATGTGTCAGGCTTAGAATTCTATTTCACAAAGAAGTTCTCTCAATGTTAAATTTATTAAACATGATGGAGTCATAACGACAGCTAACATAATCTTCCTTACTTTCTCTGTTGCCACAAAACAGTGAAGACAGACAAATTAGAAAATGCTCTTTATCCTAAGACTCACCACTATCTCTACACTAGAGGGTTCTTCCTGTAGCTTTCAGGATTAACTGGGTGCTTGTGACCTGCTTGCTCTGCAGCCAACAGCACAGCTCTTCCCTCCAGTCTCTGCTCACTGCAGTCTTCATACCACCCGGATTCTCCCTGGTAGTGTGAGCAAAGGAAGCATATGACAATCTGCTCTTGCTCTAACAGTATTGCTGTTCGTGGCCAACATTTTCACTGTCTCTAGTTAAAGTATTCTTTGGCAATGAATGATGAAGAACCAAAACCAGACCTAAGAAACTCAGATCCCACCTCTTCTGTTTATAGTCAATTTATGGTTCTATATTCTATATGTTTCTTCCTCAACTCAAACCTCTTCTTAGAATTTTCTCACAGAAGCTAAAACCAGAAACTGTTGTAACATCCCCACCTGAAAAGCACAACACAGCTCATACCAAACTACAGTTTTACTTAAATTCTGTTTTTCACCTTCATGAAACTTTTCTTTCATAAACCTGCATGGCTGCAATTAGAACATTTGAGAAGAGAAAAACTCCTTCAAAAACATGCCAAGATATTTCATTCAAGTTTTCAGAGGAGAGATAACTAACACTGAGGTAGAAAGCATAGTCTGGGAGAAGAAATACTTTATGAGGGGGTTGCTTATGTTCAAAAGCAACAGTTTTGAGAGAGCAGCTGTGGAGGTAACTATGACCCAGCCTTCATCATTCCCCCAGTGAGAGAAGGATTTATTATTTCAAGACCTAAGAAATGATTTTGAGTTAATACTTCCCACATTGTCTAGTCACTGAGAAAATCACATGAACCATTTTACCAATGAGGGACCCACCTTCCAGGGTTGGACAGCTGTCCTGTGTCATCACCTGGTGGCCAAAGGCAGAGGTCTGACTCTCAGGTCTTTCCCCTCACAACTCTACATATTGCTAAGTGGGATCTATCTGTATTGTTTGTCATCATTTCCCAGTGTCTTGCTTATTAGGCTTTTCCTCTACCCTCTCCTGTTCCCCATCTCTCCATGTACTCATCTCTATCACTGATGACATCCTGACAGTGAAAATGGATGAAATTATCTTATAGTGGGTTCATTTCATTTTCATGTTTAGGACAGCTGTCTGGAATATCTTCACATAAACAGCTTGATGACCACATCTTCATTGAGCTTATGTAACTGACTGACTCATCCAACATAATGTATTTTTACTTAACCTACTAGAGCTTGATAAGCCATTCAATTTTGGGGTTCCAGGAGAGATCCTAGGATTCAGGGGTTGTTATCATACCAACTTGAATGTGTGATTTAGTTTATAGTTTAACTTGGGTTATAGGAAGAGTGGGGACAGGAAAATTATAAGAACCTTTTCTTATGAAAGATGTTAAAAATTCAAAATTTTACCTGTTTCTCTGTACATAAAAAGAAGTTGGATTTGTTTCATGTTTGCTCTGAAATATCTAGAATCTTTAATCAAATCAGTAAATGTAAAGGCTAAGTTGATAAATTTCTATTTCTGGTCTCTTCTCAGCCTGTGTTCCCTCTCTGCTCTTGTAGCCCCTGATGTGAGCTTTGGCTTTTAAATTTGATTGGGTCCCATTTGTTTTTGCTTTTATTTCTTTTGCTTTGGGAGAGTGATCAAAGAGAATATTTACTATGATTCATGTCAAAGAGTCTTTTGCCTTTGCTTTCCTCTAGTCTTATAGTACTCAGTCTTATATTAGGCCTTTAAACCATTTTGAGTTTATTTTTGTGTATGGCGTGAGTGAATGTTCTAATTTCATTCATTTTCAGGTGTCCAGCTTTCCCAGTACTATGTACCAAAAAAAAAAAAAAATGGTATTTTTCTATATTCTTGTCTACTCTTTCATAGGTTAATTGACCATAGATATATGGAGACCAGTGTTTTAAAACTGCATTTATTCTTATTCAACTTCAGGAAGAACAGTTATGTTCTATTATGCTATGCTTAAGTAAAATTGCACATTTGGGGCATCTAAATTGGTATGCCAAGTTACAGAACATTTAAATTATTATGTGGATGAGACAGATTCAATTATTCTTGGACTTGTTTGAGAAAGCTGCCGTTAGCAATGATTCACAGCAGTAAACAAACAATTAACAGGAAAATAGCCTTTCTGAGACTTAATTAATATTTCCAATTAAATACAAAGGATGAAATTAATTGAAATACCTAGATGTGGGAAAACAACCTGTATTTTGTTTAGAGTTCCAGAATATTCTCTTCTCTTTAAAAAAATTAAATTAATTAATTTATTTATTTTAGGCTGTGCTGGGTCTTCCTTGCTGCACAAACTTTTCTCTAGTTGCAGTGAGTGGAGCTTCTCTATGAGCAGTGTGAAGACCTCTTGTTGTGGTGGCTTCTCTTGCTGCAGAGCACAAGCTGTAGACATGTGGGTTTCAGTAGTTGTGACACATGGGCTCAGGAGTTGTAACTCCCAGACTCTAGAGCACATGCTGTATAGTTGTGGCCCACAGACTTAGTTGCTCTGCACCCTGTGGGATCTTCCAGGACAAGGGATCAAAGGCATGACTCCTGCATCGTCATGCAGATTCTTTTACCACTGAGCCACCAGGAAGCCCATCTAGCATATTCTCTTAAGATACATTTACTCAGAACATGACCTAAATGAAGACTTGAGTACTGCTTAACATCAGGAATGTTTTTATAATTATGTCATTTGGGTCATTTATTTCAGACACTTTTTTCTTTCCAGAACAATTAACCAAAATCACTAATAAGTAGAAAGGCAGAGTTAAGAGCCCCTTCCTCTCCCTTTCAGTTTCCATTTAGCAGACTTATTAATGAGTAATAAAAGGGGTTAAAGGCAGGCAGTTTAGGAGAGAAAGAGAAACAAAATAAGAAAGATACTAATAATTTGTGAAAACAGATTCAGATCCTACAGATTCAGATCCTAGGCAGTTAGACTGGGCTGCCCCATGTGCTCTACAGGCTGAGATCACTGGAATTCAGAGCTCAATTTCTTACTTGCTTCTTTAGTCTTACCAAAAAGAAAACTAGATTTCTAGAGATTTCTTCTGTACAGAGCAATTCTGTAAAAGCTGCTTCTGTACCAGCTCTTTTTGCCAGTTTTCCACTCTTGGAAGAAGAAACCACAACCATAGCCAACTTCTAGAAGCATATCAGCCTCTCATACAAGGGATTCTGTTTCTCTTAGCAGCTGACATAATGCAGGACCCTAAAGAAATTCTGAAAGCATTTTCTTTTTTCCCCAAATATTTCTCAGATTCTCAAATCAACTTGACATTTAATTTGTTGTCAGGGCACTGCCCTCTGGTTTGTATGATAACATACTTTAAAGGTAAATGCAGTTTGATTTTCTTGAATCAAGATATTCCCCAACTGTGTGTATCTGTATAAATTGCCTCAAAGATCAGAGCCTGAGAGTTAAAAGCACTAAATAATGCTGCTGCTGTATCGCTTCAGTCGTGTCCAACTCTTAGTGAACCCATGGACTGCAGTCCACCAGGCTCCTCTATCCATGGGATTTTCCAGGCAAGAGTACTGGAGTGGGGTGCCATTGCCTTCTCTGCTAAATAATGCTAATAACTCCAAATACCCTGGGAAGATAGAAGATGCTACAGAGTGCCAGTAATCCTAGTCTAAAACTGTCATTTTCTTCCTTTCCTATAACACTGTAATATTAAAAGGTCGGGTTAGGCCTTTGTCTAGCCAGTAAAGCAGAATAATCAGACCATTTACACACCAGCCAGTCACACCACCCAGATTCTCTCTTTTCTCCCTGTCCTACACCGTTTTGAAGTATGGTCTGGGTTGTAGTATGGTACTGGGAGATATTGTGTGCTAATGGATTTCTTTCTGCTGTTAACAGGTTTTGGATTCAGGGAGACAAAGAGAATCTGGATGGCCATATCATTTGCTGCAGAATAAAAACAGCCTATTTTACAAGATGTTGCAACCACTGGGTGAGGCAGAGGCCGCTGCTCTCACTGAAAGGGCGAAACAGGTGAGCCTGCTGCCGGGAGTTGTAATAAAAATTTGTCTCCAAGGAGTAGCTGGGGAAGGGACACAGGCTGATGAAGGGCATAACCAACAGGGTTGTCACCATAAAGTCCTATCACTGTCAGTGCTTAAGGTATAATAACTACATTTTGTTGCTCTAGTGAATACTTCTGCACAGAGATAGATGGATGTGTTTTTTAAATTCTATTATTTAATTGAATCTAATCCATAAAAATATTTTTTGTTATAAAAAAGCAATAAATGTGCAAAGTATAAATAGGAAAATAAAAGAAAATCTCATAAAGGCAAGATTACAAAATACTCACTACCAGAAAGGAACAGTTTTATAATGCTATAATATTATTTGGATAATTCTGCTGCTGCCAAGTCACTTCAGTCATGTCCGACTCTGTGCGACCCCATGGACTGCAGCCCACCAGGCTCTGCCATCCCTGGGATTCTCCAGGCAAGAACACTGGAGTGGGTTGCCATTTCCTTCTCCAGTGCATGAAAGTGAAAAGTGAAAATGAAGTCGCTCAGTCGTGTCTGACGAGTGACCCCATGGACTGCAGCCTACCAGGCTCCTCCATCCATGGGATTTTCCAGGCAAGAGTACTGAAGTAGGGTGCCATTGCCTTCTCCATTGGATAATGCTAGAGTCAGTTTAATAATTTTTTTATGCAATACAGAGTATTTTACTAGCATAATTTTTATTTATTCTTAAAATTCCCCATGTCATTTATTAATTTTCCACAGCTCGGTTCTTAATAGCTAACTAAAATTTCATCATAGAGATAGAGTATAATTAATCTCAAACTTAGACATCTATTTATTTTATAAATTGTCACTTTTATAAAAAATCTTGAAATGATTAGATGTGTATTCTCCTCGGTTCTGTCTCATCCCAACAAGAATTTGAAGCGACGGACAATAGAGCCCTCGGCGTGTCATAGCTCTCGGACAGACCATGTTATAGCTCTTAGACAGATCAGTGTTATAGCTTCATGTTACAGCTCTATTTTATTTAGAAAATAGCAGGAAAATCCATCCTTGAGGTGTGAGGCATGTCGACCCAAAGACACGAAGAGAAGAGAGTGGGCAAGTGTGTCAGCACAGGATAGAGAGAGACCCCGGCCCTTTGGCTCCTCTTTTATATGTTTTTTCCCTCCCTTCTGGGCCTGCCTATATAAATTGGGCTATCCAGGATTGCTGTTTGTTCTACCTGAGGTCCTCACTCCGTTCCTCGGACCTTCCTTTGTTCTATTTTCGTGGGCTTTTCCCTTCCTTATCTTTTAGCCACCACCATTCTGGACTCCTGTTTCCTATTCTAACTACCTAACAGATAGGTATGGTTTTGTCCACTGTAAGTAAATCAGAGAAAGGACTTGTTGGGAAACAATTGGGACCTAATTAATAGCTTTGTATATGTGTTGACTCTCCAGGATTTACCCTGCTTTGGTTCATTAAGCACCATTTGTGTGTCAGGCTTAGAATTCTATTTCACAAAGAAGTTTTCTCAATATTAAGTTTATTAAACATGATGGAGTCATAATGACAGTTAATATAATCTCCTCTACTTTCTCTGTTGCCACAAAAGAGTGGAGCAAGACAGACAAATTAGAAATGCTCTTTCTCCTAAGACTCACCACTATCTCTACACTACAGGGTTCTTCCTATAGTTTTCAGGATTAGTTGGGTGCTTGTGACCTGCTTTCTCTGCTCTTTCTCTGCTTTTCCCTGGAGCTCTTCCCTCCAGTCTCTGCTCACTGAAGTCTTCATATCACCCCGATTCTTTGTGAGCAAAGGAAGCATGTGACAATCTGCTCTTGCTCTAACACCATTGTTGTCTGTGTTCAACATTTTCACTGTCTCTAGTTAGAGTATTCTTTGGCAATGAATGATGAAGAACCAAAACCAGACCTAAGAAACTCAGATCCCACCTCTTCTGTTTATAGTCAATTTATGGTTCTATATTCTTTATGTTTCTTCCTCAGCTCAAACCTCTTCTTAGAATTTTATCACAGAAGTGAAAACCAGAAACTGTTGTAACACCCCCACCTGAAAAGCACAAAACAGCTCGTACCTAACTAGAGTTTTACTTAAATTCTAATTTCCACCTTCATGGAACTTTTCTTTCATAAACCTGCATGGCTACAATTAGAAATTTGAGAAGAGAAAAACTCCTTCAAAAACATGCCAAGATATTCCATTCAAGTTTTCAGAGGAGAGATAACTAACACTGAGGTAGAAAGCATAGTCTGGGAGAAGAAATACTTTATGAGGGAGTCGCTTATGTGCAAAAGCAACAGTTTTGAGAGAGCAGCTATGGAGGTGACTATGATCCAGCCTTCATTATTCTCCTGGTGAGAGAAGGATTTATTATTTCAAGACCTAAGAAATGATTTTGAGTTAATACTTCCTACATTGTCCAGTCAATGAGAAAATCACATGAACCGTTTTACCAATGAGGGACCCATCTTCCAAGGTTGGACAGCTGTCCTGTGTCATCACCTGGTGGCCAAAGGCAGAGGTCTGACTCTCAGGTCTTTCCCCTCACAACTCTACATATTACTAAGTGGGATCTATCTGTATTGTTTGTCATCATTTCCCAGCATCTTTCTTATTAGGCTTTTCCTCCACCCTCTCTAGTCCCCCATCTCTCCATGTATTCATCTATATCACTGATGACATCCTGCCAGTGAAAATGGATGAAATTGTCTTATAGTGGGTCCATTTCATTTTTATGTCTAGGACAGCTACTGGGAATACCTGCACATAAATGGTTTGATGACCACATCTTCATTGAGTTTATGTAACTGACTGACTCATCCAACATAATGTATTTTTACTTAACCTACTAGAGCTTGATAAGCCATTCAATTTTGGGGTTCCAGGAGAGATCCTGGGATTCAGTGGTTGTTATCATACCAACTTTAATGTGTGATTTAGTTTATAGTTTAACTTGGGTTACAAGAAGACTGGGGACAGCAAAATTATTTCACCTCACTGAAAAGGTGAAACAGGTGAGCCCGCTGCAGGGAGTTGTAATTAAAGTTATTTCTAGGGTTCAGTCTTCATAATCTCCACTGGTGGTTTGATAACATGGATTCTGTGCCCTTATAAGTGTCCATAGAGGAAGTCTCATGACTGGGTCTTAACAACACATTTCAGGTTTAAGGCAGGTCTGCTGAGATTCTGCGGCAGATTTGGGGGTGGGGTAGGATGTGTGTGCTCTTCTGTGTGCACACACATGGGCCTGGGAGAGAGATGCCATCTTGGACTTTCCACACTTTTGGACTCTGGGTTCAGATTCTCATAGAGCACAGAAAACTCATTTTGCAGACCCTTCACATTCATTCTTATTGGTGCTCAGTACATTTGTACTAAAAATGCTATCAAGGCATATCCAGGAAATTTGAGAGTTTAAGGGAAAGCAGTTTAGAATATTTTGGCTCTAGGAAGATTTACCAGGGAAAGGTGTGGTCTCTTCTGTTTTCTAATCTGTAAGGAAAATGTCTACCTGATATCAGCACTTTATCCCTAATTCCTTGTTCTTTAGAATTAGCTCCAGTTGCCCCCACTAAGCTTCCTCTACCTTCTAGAAGGTAAAATCATCATCAGGACAAATCAAGAACTCACAATACATTAACTCTATAGTCATAATGGTGCCTGGAGGTTTACAAAGCACTTTCTCAGAGATGGGGTGTGTGATTCTCTAAGCACTGAGGAAGGTTCTCAATGGGTAACATTCAGGTCACATGACACCTTCCTAACAAAGGTGAGATGGTAACTGAGGTCTAGTTTAAGAGACTTGGCCATTGTCATATAGCTGCCTTTAATTCTTTCTGGAACAAGGTGGGAGTGGGTTGATGAGAAGATAGAGGAGCGGAAGAAAGGTTTGGTGTTCTTACCTCTTGACATTTGTGGTTCATGGTGGGATGAGGCTTCCAGCTGCCTGCAATCAGGCTTACCCATCAAAATTTATTTCTGGGCATTAAATTATGGGTTCTTCCTGCTTTTCTGCATTTCCCTAATTTTTACTTGTTAGTAGATTAAGATTACTATTGTAATATTTAAAATATGTCTTAAAGAAAACATGTCCCAGTATCTTAAGTACTTCTATATGAAAAATTTATCTTAAATGTGGTCTAAGTTCCCTCTGTCACTGTCTCATCTCAATCCTGCTTAGAAATAGAGGAAGTGCAGAGCAGGACCTTCCACTGCTCATAGGATTGGAAATTGCCTGGATCACAGAGCAGGCTGCAGAGTTTGTAGAGTTGGAGTTCGTACCTAGGTTTAGGGACAAGGAAGTCTGTGTTCTGAATTTTTCATAAGTACTTATATTGTGTACAAATGTTGAGAAGTTGAACAAAGAGCTCTGTATTTGTTATGCCTGAAATTCACAGAGTGCTTTCATCTACTAGAATGTCTCCCAGTCAGGCCTTCCTTCCTAAGACCTAGAGACCCAGGAATTTCCAAAACCCTTTTGCTCTTTTGACCTTAAGCATTTCACATCAAAAAGAGATGTACCCACCTATGTGTCAAAGTCTTCATTTAAAAACTATATTATTGTTATATGTTATCAAGACATTGAGTAATGAGAAATAGATCACAGAATTTAAGTTCAGTCCAGATAATATAATAGGATTCAACACCCTCATTTTACAGGTGAGGAAACTAAGGCCCTTTAAAAGGAAGGTGACCCAATGTATATAACTGGTGTTAAGCTAGTTTGCAGCAGACTCAGAATTAGAAATCTGTTCTTTCAGTGAATGTTTTAAATCAAGTGTAACATACATACAGGAGCAAACATAGGCCATAGAATTAGAAATCTTGTTATTCCTAGTCTAATAATGCTGCATCTACTCTAACAATACCAAGTTACATTTGTGTAATTCTTTATAATTCATTTTACCTTGCTCTCACATGTATGATTTCACTTAATCTCATGGTCCATTTTTATCCATATCATGGATGAGGAGAGTGGGTCCAGACTTACCTAAGGTCTTGGAGCTGGTCCAGGGAGCACAGAGGGGCAATTGCTGGGGGAGGCTGCATGCTGTCCTATGTACTGTGTTCTGTGTCAAGTCTGAGAACACTGCTCCTTTCACGTGGTAGCTAAGGTGGGGCCATCACCCAAGTTCACAGTGTGACAAAACACTACTTTGGATTCCAGTCTTGCCACTAGGTCAGGTCATCTCTAAGGAAAGAAATACATTTCTTGATTCTCATCCCAGTTAAATGTCTTCTTGGCATTATTTCTGCATACTCTGCATCCTTTTAGGTGAGCTGTCAGATTATCAGTTTTTTGAATGTGCAAGCATCAGTGTTGAAACCTATAACACTGGGAACATTGTCCTAAGTCAACAAGGTTTTCCCTCTAATAGAGCAGAATTAATTCATCTGAAAAGAAAACCCAACATCTGAGAAAAGATGCTTCCTAGTCATATTTTTTTAAACACACAGTTCAGGTGAGCTGATCACTGTCTGATTGACCCTTTTAGATGATCCATGAAATAGCAGAGAAAGTACCTTTTAGATACATAAAGTTGAAGGGTACGTTAGTTTGCTAGGGCTGCCATACAAAGTACCAGAGTAGGTGACTTAACAAACTTATCTACTCACAGCCCTGGAGGCTGGAAGTCTCAGGTCAAGGTGTCGGCAGGGTTGGTTTCCTCTGAAATCTCTCTCCTTGACTTGGAGATGCTGTCTTCTCTCTTTGTCCTCACATGGTCTTCCCTCTGTGTGAGCCTGTGTCCTGATCTACTCTTATAGGAACCCCAGTCTATTAGATTAGGACCCACCTGTATGACTTCATTTTAACTTTATTGCCTCTTTAAAGACCCTGTCTCCAAATACAGTCACATTCTGAGGTACTGGGTGGTTTAGGACTTAAACATGTAAAGTTGGATGGGACAGTTCAGCCCATAATAGAGGATAAATGCCTTTCATTCATTCTATTCTGTGATGAAGCAGACCTGGTTGAGATTTTTTGAAGTTTCTTTTTTCCTAGTGTGTAACAGAGCTGTCATGTTGTCTATTCATGAAATCGCCTAATACAACCCAGCAGTTATAAAATCCTAGTATGCTAGCTCTAGAAGCCTGGACCAGTTTGAATAGGTGGAGGAGGCACGTAGGATCCACTGGCCTTGTGTCCCCCAAAGTGTCTGAGCCTCAGGTCCTCACCTGTGTATAGAGCAGGGATTACAGCCCTGCCGGCTTCACAGTTACTATGGGGTTCAGATGAGAGAGCAGATGCTTAAGGACTTTGAGAATATAGAGTGTTTTGTAGTATAAAAGTGGGATCATTTTTTTTAAACACTGTAGACAGAAGCCTTGTTTCCCAATAATAACACATATATACCCATAGTTCTTCTAGATAGCTTTACAAATCAGGGGTCCCCAATCACTGAAGATCCTTTGCAGCATTCAATTCAGATATTTCAGACCATGAAACAAAGTCTTTTTAAGTTAAAAGTTGCTAAAAATTATATTTTCTTTATAAAAATTGTGTTGAGAAGGGTTATGGAGAAAGGAACCAGATGATTTTGGAAAGAAAATCAAGCAGTAGAAAATGAAATGTATTTTCTTTGTTCCTTTTACTTTTCACCAAAAGAGTTACATATGGATATAATCACAAAATATGGCTAGCTTAATAAGATGGAAGAGGGTGATGATATGCAGTTAACCTCCCCTCCCAACCCCCACCAAAAGCTTGACTTTTTTCTAATGGAAATAGCCTCACATTTCAGTCAGTGGGACCCAAGCATTCTTGGAGGGTTGATTTTTCTCCTTAAGTGACATTTAAATATATAGCATTTCATAAGCAGAGCTGTTTGCTGGTAGCAGGTTATGCTAGGAACAAGAGAATGAGAAAGTGCACTTACTATGAAGGTAGGTGTCCTAGTGCTTTTCTGTTTCATGTGTGAAGTTCATTCTCTCTCATGATAACTTTGTTTACAGCACCCACAAATGCAATCAGGTTTTGTAAAAGAGATCTGGAATCATATGTCTAAGCAACCCAGTTTGTGACACAAGTCAGCCTCTGACAGATGGTACATTTTCTGTTTTAAGGACTCAAATGAAACTTTTCACATTCTTCTTTGAGGAAGAAGAGTTACATTTGAAGTCGTTTTTTGCCCAAACACATTCAGAGATAAGGCTTTACAAGACCTGACATTATTTTATTTTGTTATGTGCATCTGTTAAGGAACCAAGATACAATATAGCTATTAAAAACTGATGATTGTGGACCTTGACAGCACTTAATTTCCTCTGTGTTCTGATTATACACTGAGAAAACCTGTATCTCTTCCAATTCAGCTAGAAATTGGTAGAATTCAAGAGCTTGAAGGTCTGGCAGAGAACTGCCCTGTTATTTGGTATCATCTTCCATTTTATAGAAGTCATTTGGTTGAGTCCTTGTTAAAGGTTTTGATTTTCTTTTCATTCTTGGGACCCACTACCCACAGATCACATTTCTATAGGCCCTATAATTGCTTTGCTGCACAAATTAAACACCAGGATATTTCATACATGTACGCCAGCGTTTCAGTGCTTGTCGATCAAAGTTTATAAAATATAAAGATAACAACTTGATATTAACATCCAAATCTGTTGTGCTCCTTTTATGTGTGAAAATGACAAACCCTGTTCAGATGCTAGACTTCTAGCCTCTTTGTTACACTGTTTTTAATTTATTTCAGGGAATAAAATGATTTTGCTTATCAATTTACTGTAGTGATAAAGCATATCTGTGAATCAGAATGATCAGAAATCTAGTAAATCTACAGGTTGTTTGGTATTAAGTCCAGCCCCACTGAGGGTTTTAATGGGGCTACTTTCTCCATAGAATAAATACAGCCCTGGTTTTTTAAAACTGTGCCTTCAATAGTGATATGATTGCTTCACATGAAGAAGTAAACCTAGAAATGTGTTGCCTCAGGAGGAGGACTTTAAAACTTTCAAACAGGTTGTTTTTGTCTTTTTCTCCCTCAGGTGTACTTCAAAAGAAAATAGCCAGATATTACTCACAGTGACCTTGTGGTTGTGAATGTTTCCAGTGGACAGCCCTCAGCCTTCACAATTTTTGAGTCAACACTGTGATTCTACCATGAGTTCATGTCTATTCCAAAGGCTTTTTTTCCAAAAGGTTTTGCACTGCATAAACTATATTGTACTTTTTTATACCAAGAACAAATATTTACACATTACACAATGTCAGTTCTCCAACTTTGCTCAATGATTTCAAGCTCTTGAAAAAGGATTTATTATGTTTACTTAAATGTTATACTAATTTCTTTCTTATCCAAATCAGAGGTGCAGGCCACCAATAAAAGCTGTCTCCCAGGTTTTGCGTCTTGAGAGACTCCAGGGCTAAACTCATTTTCTAAGATTTGAGACAAAGTTGTAACAGATTTTTTTTAAAATATTCCCAGAAATATGTATTACTTTTGAAAGGTTGTTGCTGAAAGATAAGACGCCGGGATTCTTGGCCTCCAGAGGAGACGAATTCAATCAGGGGCCAGAGACAAGGCTGGATCTCTCAGAGCTCTTGTGTAATAAAGTTTTATTAAAGTATAAAGGAGATAGAGAAAGCTTCTGACATAGGCATCAGAAGGGGGCAGAAAGAGTACCTCCCCGCTAGTCTTCAGCTGGATGTTATATAGTCACTAGCAGTCTGTTAATGAAAAGAAAGGAATGTCTTAAAACTCAGAGGCACCAGGCCCCTCATCCATAAATTGCATTTTGTGATAATCCTGGCACCAAGCCATAAAACGATTGACTTGAATCTTGTAAAAGGGCAGATTACCATACAAGCAGTTTCATTTACATAGATTAGGGGAACAATATCTGAGTGTAACATACTGGTTTGTCAAGTAGGTTCTGAACCATTTGGCAGAACTTGAAGACAGAGTCTGGGGTACATTAACATAGCTTAAGACAAACATTTCCATAAGAAAAAATGTATTGGTTAACTCAAGGTTTGAGAATAGTTAGCTTCAGGTGAAACCAGGTGTCATGGCAACACAACATTTTCAGAGAAACCTCCTTTTAAATTTGTATAGAGAAGGAAAAAAGAATATTGCTAGTTTGTTTCCTCCTGCTGCTTAAGAAAGATAAAAATGTCTGGCACTTGCAGCCTATTTCCTCCCTTTGGAGACCTCTGGCCTTCCTGCCTTTTACCCTCTCACTTTCCAGTTATATCAGGGATTCTGTTTACTTGAAGACTGTGTGAAGTTGCTGTTTTGTGTCACTACTTCCTTTAACATGAATAGGATCCATTTTTCCACCAAAAGACCTTTGGTTAAAATACTACAGAGAAATCTGATAGAAAAAACATACAATATACTATAGTTTAAGTGACATCATAGGAGAGAGAGGTCTCCCCTCCAAAAAAAAAGAAAACATAGATATATGGTTAAAATACAGAATGACATTATTATATGTTCTAACACAGAAGGAAGAGAAAATATGCTTTCTGAAAATAGGAGCCCTTCTAGGCAATTTGCTTATGAAGGACAGATGTGTGCTAGACTGTCTTCTAGATAGAGGATTTTATTTTTTTACATTAAAACTTGTGGTAAAGTATATATAACATAAAGTTTGCCATATAGCCATTTTTAATCACACAATCCAGTGGCATTAATCACATTCACAGTGTTGTGCAGCCATCATTGTCTGGGTAACTTTTGGTAATTATGTGCCTCCTCTTCAGTGTGTTATTTCTGCAGAATCATTTTGGTAAGTTTCATTTTTCTAGGAGTGGCTCTGTTTCCTGTGAGTTTTTGAGCTTGATTGGCATAAATTTATTCACAATATCTTGTATGTTTAATCTTTCCAGCATCTCTGTGTTCTTTTGGCTTTTTAATTTTCTTTGAGCCTTCTTTTTTATAAATAATCTTGCATAACTTTTTCCTGTTTTCAAAGAATCAACTTTTTGCTTGATTGATTCTCTTTTTTTCCTAGTTCATCATATCATTCCTTCTTTCCTTCAGCTTTTTCTTAAGTTTGAGGTTTTTTCCTCTAAATTCCTAAATTGAAAAGAGGTTAGTAATGTTATTATTTTTCTAATAAAAGTATATACAGCTGACTTTTTCCCTAAGATATACTTTAACTGCAACCTGCAAGTTTTGGTACTCACCACCAATCGATAGCCATAGTATTATGTATTTTCTAATTCCTAATTTATTTCATTAACTATATCTTTTACTCATGAGTTATTCATAAGTATAATGTTCTCTAAATTTCAAATGCTAATAGGTTTTTTCTATTAGATTGAACCACGTGGAACTGCTAACATTCAGCCTTTTTATAAACTATAAAATGGCACTTTCATATGTTTCAACGTGTAGTTTTCTTTTGTTATTAGTATATAACTTAATTTCCTTTGGTCAGACAATATTAGATTGTGGGTTTTAAACCAAAGGTAACTACATTCACACAAAAGGTCCTTGTTTCTACCATTTTGTATTTTATTGGGGGATTTTAAAATGCTATAAGTACATGTGTAACAAGTAATTTTGTATAAAAATCCTCCCCAAATACTGGAATGTTTTCTGATACGTGTTGCAGGCTGGTTCTCTGGGATGCAGACTAGGATGGAGTTAGTGCTGGGATGTGTATCAGGGTTGCCCTTGGGGCCAACACTGTGGAATCAGGAGGGACTAAACAGGGTAGGGCAGAGGGAAAGATCAAGTGGGATCACTGGCCAGACAAACTTACCTGACCTCATGGGGGTCTGGAGTGACAATGGCCCTTCAGGGTTGTCCTGACGCATCCAATGACCAGGCCTTTATACCTCTACCTGGATGGATGATTGTACACAGGCTGCCCCCAGAGGGGCTGGTGGTTTAAGGTTGCCTGCTGGCAGTACTTACAGCAGCCGAACAATGAGTCCTTGAAGGGAAGTCAGGACAGCACGTCTCCATGTACCCCCTGGGCATGTATCACAGCTCCAGAGGTAAGTGATGAGGGTGTACTGTGGGGGAGACTCTTGATGACTGACATTTAATTCAAAATGATGACTCAATGACTCTTCTCAATAGCCTCTGCTCTAAAAAATTGAGAAGGTCCATGTAGGGGAGAGATCCCCATTCTCCAGGGTCAGCCCAGTTGTCACCTCTTCTAGGAAGTAAACTTAAGATCAGTCGTCATCCTAGGTAACTCGGATTTCTGTAGGACCCTGAGCACCTCTCATGTTAAACTGAACCACACTTGGTTAATGTCCTGTTGTCACCATCATGAGATACTTCATTTGTAAACAAGGGGCCTGTTCTTTGCATTGTACATGGGGCCCTGTAAATGATGTAGTCTTCCCTGACTGAGTCGTCACACATGGTCTGTTTTCTCACTAAACTGAGTGAGAAAAAGACTTGAAGCTGTACCCTATTCACGTTTTAATTATGTCTTCCAGCAGAGTATCTGTGCACAGAGGGTGCTCAGTAAATTTTTGTTGAATGAATAAATGATGACAGAGAAAGCCTTCCTTCTCAACTTTATGATTTTGAGATTTTAAGAGGTAGCCTGGGATAACAGAAAACCCTGGTTTTAGAGTCAGCCACACTGACCTGTCCTTTCTCTACTACTCACTAGCAGTGTGAGTGTGGGAAAGCAGTAACCAACTAAGGTGCCAGGACATTAGAATGGCCCCATCCTTGACAAAATAGGCTCTGGACATCCTACAGCCATGTAGTCCTAGTTACATGCTTGGGTAAGCATCTCAACCTCTGAATCTCAGCTTCTTTATCTGGAAAATGAATATGGTTCCTGCTCTTGAACCATTGCTTTGGTTGGGATGATGGATGGACTAAGAGCATCCAAAGACACAGTGTGGAGTCACTGACCTTGGAGATTCTTTTCACTAAGAGAGGAGAACAGGAAGAGTGTGGATGAAGGAGGTTTGTAGACTGTAGAAGGTGTACTTGAGGAGGTCCTCATCTGATGGCCTAAACCAAACTGTTCCTTCTCCACATGTAGTTAAAATGACACAGGCACATGGGGAGACTCCAAACTCTGGAGTCAGGGACAAATACTGGCTCCTCTGGGCACTGACTGGGTTTGGATACAAGTTCTGCTTCCTGGTAAGTGTGGGCTCTTAAGGATGGGAAGCCCACTGTGCTTCAGTGTCTTTGTCTGAAAGTTGAGGTGGGGGTAATGTGATTCTCAGAAGGCTGCTGCAAAGATCAACTATGAGAGTGATACAGTGAGAACTGTGCACTAGTGTCAGTCCATGACCTGTTTGTAAGCCGATTAGAAGTAAGTACAGGAAATTCAAGAGCTAGAAACTCATGACCATCTGTATTGCTGTGACATCCACACTCAGGATGGGTGGGATCCTGAACACCCTGGGGACCAGTGTGAGTGTTGGTCTTGCGGGTAGGTGTGGAAGGGGATGTGGTTGAGCTGCACACTAGCTGTGCACAGTGGATCATTGGTTAGGTTCCAATGGGCTGAAAATGTAAAATTAGATAAAACTGATATTTAATCCCAGACAGGTAAGAAACAATGTTGGATATGTTCAATGCTTTTGAACAATGCTGTATATGTGATTAGGTGTCAAGTAGTACTACCTTCTCTAGCACCATCCTCTTTATTAATTGTTACCATCATATTTATCTTAAAAGTAGACCACACAGGCTTTCAAAAGGCCTTACTAAACATTATCAATATTTTTAGTAACATTAAAAAGTTAGAAATAAGTAAACTCCTGTTTAAGTTTAAAGGATTTGTTTCAAGTCTAAAAAGAATACTGTGCATATATTTTTTTTACCAATTCTATTCTTGAATCAGCAGCATTGTCCTAAGGTTGAAGAAGGTCCCTGGAAGCACAACAGGCCACTTTGAAACCTTCGGAGATTTTTTAAACACAAGGTTTTAAGTGTAAGCTATTAATTTTCCTTTAAAAACAGAAAGAATGTGGATTAACTGAGTTTTTCTTTTCTAAACCTAAAGTTAATAAGAATCAAAGTTAAGATTTAGACACACTAGGAATGTTCTACAAGAAGTTTACATTGGAT